AGAACAGTTCCCTCAGAGCAGCTGGGCACTGCAGCCCCAAATCTAGCACATCTCTTAACGGAGATCTCTCAAAGCCACATAAGTTTATGTCTCAGCTGGAATAAACCCCAGTAGCTCCCTGTTGGTGAGAAGCTCCAGCCACGTGCCTGGGTCAGAAGCCTAAACAATGACCTAGGACTGATCAGAAATGGGCTACAGGCAATTCCCCCAAAATTTTGGTTATCTATTTTCACTTGACTTACAGTCTACAGCTTTTAGGGTTAAGGCTGGGACAAGAATCCATGATGATTACAGCCAGCTTTGAAGTCCAAGAGCATCCATAGTTTATTAAAAGCACATTATATTAATGACAAAGGGAACAACTTTTGTGTATTTGAAGTATCTCTTTCAAGTGTGCTTTTTCAGTACCACATCCACACATTTAATTTCTCTCTGTAGCATTTACATTTAAAATAATTCACCAAAATAACAGTAGGAGTCTGATTTACACTCACAGAGCAAATTAGTTCAGAGCTAACATCATCATTCCCTCTGCCTCACTGAGCAGAAACTGTTGTGGTTGTGTGCAGTGCCCACAGGAAAGTGCATTACAGCTGGTGAGGGGAGTAGTTCAAGAGACTTAGGATGATAAGCAAATGAGAGGGGTGCGTGGGGTGGGGAAACCAAACCAAGACTGCATTGCCCGGGTGAAAAGAGCCCCTCCACCCTTCTCTTCACCCATTCTGAATTGCTAAACCCTCATCTCCCGTAGAAACAGCTGCCACAGTGGTGCTGCAGACTCCATCAGTCCTGTTCTGTATTATGTGCTTCATTTATCAGCTGCTTGATATACAGAGGTCCCTATGCAGCTACCACAGTAAAATCCATCAGAGTGATGTCATCCCACTTCTGCCCCAGCAGTGCAATTCTCCAGCTCTTTACTGTGCTGATGGACCCTCTCACATCATTCTGCTTATGGTTGTGGGCCGGTTTAACAGGAAGAGGGAAGTCTGGTGGGGAATTAGCAACAAGGGAACAACGACCAGTTAGTATGAGCTTCGTGAAGGGGGAAAAAAACCAAAAACAACCCAAAAAACAACAACAACAAAGGACATGGGCCTGCACAGCCAAGCCTTAGAGGGCTGAGGTCCTCATGGTGACATTTCTGAGCAAGTCATGAAACTGTGTTCAGTGAATCTGAGGGAAAAAATTGAAGACAGAATGAGGAGGAGAGGCAGGAAATATTTAAGTGGAAAAAGCAAGCTTCATCACTTCCATTTTAAAGAAACATTAGGAAGGGAAAGGATTCAACATAAAATTAAATTAACATTTTGGTATAATGCCACAAATGGAATTGCTCTTGTGAATGAAACCAGTTCCTAATTAGCTGAGGCAAAGAGCAAATCCATACTCAAAAACAAAAAGGATACAGCTCTTCAATGGAAGGCTGAGCACAGGGCCTCTGTGGGTCTGCTGGGCACATCACCCAGGGTAACATTCATCAGCAATAATGCACTGAGCCACCCACTCAGGTTTCAAGAGTTTTTAAATCCCAATTAGAATCTAAATGACTTGCAGGGAGGCTTAAGGGAGTTTTCAGCTCTCTCGGGTAGCGGAGATAATTATGGGGAAGAGAGATGCGGATTATGAATGGCTCTGCAGCTCTGACTCCCACGTTACCACTTGCTACGCACTTGCAGCTTGGTCCGCTTTGCCTTGGCAGACTCTCAGCAGAGAGCTGCCCCCAGTCCCTTCCCTGCTTGTTGAGTGATGTTATGAGTGGGAGAGAAGAGGGGGAGCAGTTTAACTAGACTTGAAAAAGACTGGAAACAATGGGAAAAACAGATAGGAAATCAGGTAAGTGTATTGTCTTGATCCAAAGCCTGATCCCCTTGTTAAAAATATCTTCTGCTGTACTGCATACAAACTATTAATTCACCAGCCACGTTCCCGTCACAGCTACTGACTTGGAAAAAAGCAGACGTGTCCTCCTACTTTACATATTTGTTGTTTATTTGCTCAGGTCTGATTACTCATCCATACCAACCTGTTTGCTCTCATTTTTCAGATGGATGTCTTTGGAAATGCTATTTACTTTATGTCTGGACAACGCTGAACATGATGGGACCAATTCGAGTTCAGTCCTTTAAGCCCTATCACAATCTAAACATTAAATCAATTGTAGCAATCAAAACTAGCAGACAAATCCCTTCTAGTATTCAGGCACAGTCTTTACTGTATCCAACCAGTATATTCTACGGAGGAATGTCAGACATGTCATTTACTGCCCCAACAACAAATCTTGTTCATTGATGTAGCCACTATTTAAGGGGTAGAAGGGATTAGATGAAGCCATCCATCATAATTTTTTGAAAGTTTCCTCTGTGGAAGACTAAAATGGTTGCATTTCTTGTTTCTAACAGATAACAAACACTGACATTCCAAACTCATGCTGAATTTTTACCTGTCCATTTAACTCTGCTTCTTAGCCCTGTGCCTGCTATGCCTTGAAGTAAAAATCAAACCCAGACTGAACTCCCCTCCCTTGAAATGAAAAACAACAACATTGCCCCTTCATCAGACAACTGCCTCCCAAAATACTGACAGGCTGCTGGCTGGGAAACAATATATCTGACACTGTCTAGTAGAGCATGATCAGAATCAATTCTGATCAGCAGCAACCTTGAATTAGCTTTCAGCTCACCTGCAAAGATGAAAATACCATGTCCATTTCTCCACATCCATCCATTCTTACCCAAAAGTGTAACAACGACTGAGGAAATTCAAGCAAATGAGCCAGGAAATCAGAACAATAGTTATTTACAGTGGACAACACCTACTTCAGCAAACACATGAGGTACAAGCAACATCAAAGAGTGTTAGTGCAGCTGACAAGCCTAACAAACATGAATTTGAAAGGGCTTTGTCAATAAGATTTCAGGCACTTTTAAAATTTATTTTTAGAAGAACATCTGCTCCAGCTTTTCAAAATCTTATAGGCACATCCCACAAGTTGGAAGACCA